TACAGGCCAATATCACTGATGAACATAGATGCAAAAATCCTTAACAAAATTCTAGCAAACAGAATCCAACAACATATTAAAAAAATCATACACCATGACCAAGTGGGCTTTATCCCAGCAATGCAAGGATTCTTTAATATCTGCAGATCAATCAATGTAATACACCACATTACAAATTGAAAGGTAAAAACCATATGATTATCTCAATAGATGGCGGGACCAGCCGGCAAAGAGAACAAGTCCCGACCGCAACAGCACGGAAGCCTGAGAAAACGGAGCTGAAAGAATGGGGTCGAGAGGACTGAAATGCTCTTTATTTTATTTGATTTTATTGAGTAAAACAGCTACCTTTATACTAGTACAAGCAGAAAACATAGTTCATAAAAAATGCCATCTGGTGTTTGTCACATCAATACAGTTCTTTGTCTTAAGTGATTGCAGAAGCTTACATCTTGTTTTTGGTATTCCAAGATAAACTACTAAGTGAAGGTCACTACTATGTTTTTCTCAAGGAAGAACAAAGGGGAGACCCAGCAAATGTTTTACTACTTTATCATGGGGTGGTGGGACAGGGAATAGCCTCTTTCAAGGCTTTCCCAGGGCCTTTTTGGGCCTTGAGCAGGCCAGCTCCCCACAAATAGATGCAGAGAAAACCTTTGAAAAAATTCAACACCCATTTATAATTAAAACTCTCCAGAAAGCAGGAATAGAAGGAACATACTTCAACATAATAAAAGCTATATATGACAAACCCACAGCAAGCATTACCCTCAATGGTGAAAAATTGAAAGCATTTCCCCTGAAATCAGGAGCAAGACAAGGTTGCCCACTCTCACCACTACTTTTCAACATAGTTTTGGAAGTTTTGGCCACAGCAATCAGAGCAGAAAAAGAAGTAAAAGGAATCCAGATAGGAAAAGAAGAAGTGAAACTCTCGCTGTTTGCAGATGACATGATCCTCTACATAGAAAACCCTAAAGACTCTACCAGAAAATTACTAGCGCTAATCAATGAATATAGTAAAGTTGCAGGATATAAAATTAACACATAGAAATCCCTGCATTCCTATACACTAACAATGAGAAAACAGAAATTAAGGAAACAATGCCATTCACCATTGCAACAAAAAGAATAAAATACTTAGGAGTATATCTACTTAAAGAAACGAAAGACCTATACATAGAAAACTATAAAACACTGATGAAAGAAATCAAAAGGACACAGACAGGTGGAGAAACATACCATGTTCATGGATTGGAAGAATCAATATTGTCAAAATGGCTGTACTACCCAAAGCAATCTATAGATTCAATGCAATCCCTATCAAGCTACCAACGGTATTTTTCACAGAACTAGAACAAATAATTTCACAATTTGTATGGAAATACAAAAAACCTCGAATGGAGAAGCTTTCTTTTTTTTTTTCTTTGTTTTTTTTTTTTTTTTTGAGAAGCTTTCTTGTATTATTTCTTTAATGATTTTCTATCCTCCATGTTCTCTGCTCCTTTCTGCCCCCCACAGTAACTATTAGTTGGATATCGCACCTCCACGATTCTCTAGTTTAAAACTGTCTTTTCTGCTCATGTGATTCTCTTTTTTATTGAATTTCTTTAATCTCAGTGAATTTAAAAATTTCTATTTTTGAGTTCTTTCTTGTTTTGCTTAATAAAAAGGTCACTTTGTGAAATAATACAGTTAAGGGCCAGTAGGAAATAATGTGTTATTGGGCTATCCTACTTGACTTCTGATGTCAGATCACCTGTTATTTAATTGGGAAGCCATGCATATATCCTGCAATTATCCCAAACCCAAACTCTTTCTCTTAGTATCCAGTGCAGCAAAGTTTATGTGCTGTTTGGTAAGATAACATAAAATAACCATAGTAGGTGCAATTTGAAGGAACATATACATGTGGAGAATGCAATAACTAGTTTTGTGACGTATTTTTGCTGTGGATTATGTAAATAACAGAATCTTCTTGGTGTGATTTTATAGGATGATTTTTCAGAATTGTCACCATATGAAAGGAAGAGACTGAAGAACATATCAGAAAATGCAAACTTCTTTGCTTCTCTTCAGTTGTCTGAGGTTTGTTTGAAGTTTCTAATCTAAACTGAGATACTATTCCTCTTGCTAGTAGGTCAATAAAATACTCATAGTATCAGGTTTCATAGTGTCAAATGAGGGAGGGTAAAATTAGCAAGATTTACCCTTAATACAGTTTACCATATTTTATTGATTCCAAGACTTTTTTTTTTTTCAACTGTTGTATTAAAGCTGTAATTGGAAGCTTCCCCTCACTCCTTTCTATCCTTGGTCAGGGAGCTAAGACCCCACACGCCTCGAGACACAGCCAAAACTGAAGAAAAGAATAGAGGAGAATACGGTTAGTATTGTAAGCTTTAAGGGTTAATGGCCATAAGTATGCTAATGTTTTTTAATCATCTTTACTAAAGGTATAATTTACACTGAAGGTCTTCACACTGCAGTCAAACTTCTATGTGTGTGAGAAGAGGAGGGTGTGTGATGTTTCCCCCCCCAAATACATTAAACCCTTGGCTTTAAATAGTTTCTGGACATACCAAATTCCTAAATATTCAGTGTGTATTTGCATTTTGAGAGGAGGGAGGGTGAGTTAATATAAGGCACTAAATTGCTGAGTCACTCACAGTTGAAAATTCATCAGAAATGGAGACAAAAATATCTCTGGTTTTGACTTAATTTGACAGAAATTACTATTGATTTATGGAAGTACAACCTGTAAATTTTCTGGAAAATACCCACAAAGGGTTGCCTGAAGTATAAGTTAAACTTGGAAATTTGTAATAGCATATTTAATAAATGTTTACTTATGTAAACTTGTTAGTAGCCTGGTCCCAGGAACCAGAATGTCAGTTCTTTAGACGATATTATATACTTCTCTTTATTATTGATAGTGTATTTATCTCATGCCTACTACCAAGAACAGTTGTCATATCTCAAGGTTCTTTACTTCCTGTGTAGATCTTGGCTTAGTGTACATATAGTAGCAGATACTCAAAGTTTCAGAAGGTAAGCTATGTAGTTACAGTGTTTTTTTTAATAAGATAGTATTTTTACATGTGTTATGTTTTGTGTATTTTTCAGTCAGCTGCAAGGCTCCGTGAAATGATAAAGAAGAGACAGCCTTCTGAATCCAAAAGGTAAAAGATTGGGTTTACGTTTCCTATACCATGATATATTGGTGAGTTGTTTTATAATTTGAAAAAATGGTTCTACATAGTACAATAAGTAGCAGATCAGAAACAGTAATTTGGTTTAATTGTTTATATCTCTGAGGGAATACTATATTTTATTAACTCTAAAGTTCTCATCTTCATCAAAGGACTGTAGAGGAAATAAAATCTTGAGAACTGAATTTTATTTATATTTATTATCCCTGCTAATGGAAATCTTTTTTAAAAAATATTATTTTTTTTGGTTGTACTGGGTCTTCATTGCTACATGGGCTTTCTCTAATTGTGGCAGGCACAGGCTATTCTCTAGTTGCAGTGCATGGGTTTTTCATTGCAGTGGCTTCTCTTGTTGTGGAGCATAGGTACTAGGTACACAGGCTTCAGTAGTTGTGGCACACGGGTTTTGGTTACTCCATGGCATGTGGAATCTTCTTGGACCAGGGATCGAACCCATGTCCCCAGCATTGGCAGGTGGATTCTTATCCACTGTACCACCAGGGAACTCTGAGATAAATCTTTTTTACCACTAAATTGTTCTCATTTTTCCCTAAAATAACTATTGTTTTTAAAGATTCCTCTACTTTATTTTTTTGTTTTTTCTTTCCCATTCCTAGAATAAAGGAAGGAAATGAACATTTGTTGCACATCTGTGAAATACAGTGCATGCATGCATGCCAAGTCACTTCAGTCATGTCCGTGTCTTTGTGACCCTATGGACACAGGCTTTGCTGTCTATGGGAGTCTCCAGGCAAGAATACTGGAGTGGGTTGCCATTTCCTTCTCTGAAATAACAGTGCAGTGACCTAAACATTTTTATCCTATATTATCTCATTTAATTCTGGCCAAAATTTTGTGAGATATAAGACAGACTCAAAGAGGTAAAGTGATTTGCTCAAGGTCAAAGTAGCTCTTAAAGACTTCCCCAGCAATCCAGTGGTTAAGAACTCCCCACTTCCAATTCAGGGGGTTCTGGTTCGATACCTGATCGGGGAGCTAATAGCCCACATACTATGTGGCATGGCCAAAAAAAAAAAAGTTAGCTTTTAGGTGGAAGCTTCAGAATTTGACCTCCAGGATGCCTTAGGTTCTCTTCTTTGCATTTTAACAATGCTTATTATAAGTGAAGAAACTGAAAAATCTTGGCATCATTAGATCATTGTTTTAGTACTGGATGCTAATGTAACATCATTTAATTGATTTGATTCTGGTATAGGTCAACTAGCTTGAGAAAGGCTAAACCTTTAATTATGACCAGGTATTGGCAAGTGTGAAAAATTGTTACAAGAGGAACAAACAGCGTTTAACACTGGAAGATAATAGCACCTGTCCTGTTGTCAGTTGATCATTAGCTTTACATTTGCATACATCTGTATATTTTTGGCTGCTGCTCAGTGTGGCATGTGGGATCTTACTTGCCTTTGTATATTATTTTATTAGCAAAGATTAGTGTTTTTTTTTTCCCCTAAATCACCTAAGTCACAAAGTTCCAGCACTTAATAGTTGTGTAAAGATTAGTATCCAGCAGCTAGAGCAAAAGTTATATAGAAGAAAGAGCATAACTTTTGAAATTTGGCAAACTTGATTTCAAGTTTCAATTCAGCAACTTATAACTGCAGTATTAACTTTGGACAGTTTATATAATCTTTCTTTCCTTATCTGTAAAGTTGACATTATGCCAATCTAGAGGGGTTTTAAAAAATTACTAAATATACATACAAAGAAGCACATATGAATATTTATGTAATTGAAAAAATAACAATAATTCAAGCATCCACCCACATATCTGCCATCCAGGTCAATAGAAATTTATAGTATCTTTTAAGGCCCTCCTCGGGGTAACAGTCATTATGCTGAATTTTGTGATAATCACTCCTTGCATTTATTTATAGTTTTACCACTGATGAATGTATATTAATATTAATACAGTATTTTACTTATTTTTACCTGTTTTTTATATTAACATATACTATGATGCCATTTTTATATTCTGGGGTTTTCTTTTGCTCACTTTTACATCTTTATGTTTTAAAATTCATTCATGTTGTTGTGTGCAGCTTTACTTCATCCTGTTTTTTTCTGCTGTATGAATGCACTATGTTGACTTGAATATGGACAGTTGAATTTGTCTTTGTATTTCCTTTATTTATTTATTTTTTTCCCAATTATTTTTATTAGTTGGAGGCTAATTACTTTAGAATATTGTAGTGGTTTTTTGCCATACATTGACATGAATCAGCCATGGATTTACACATGTTCCCCATCCCGATCCCCCCTCCCGCCTCCCTCTCCATCCCATCCCTCTTTGTTATCCCAGTGCACCAGCCCTGAGCACTTGTCTCATGCATCCAACCTGGGCTGGTGATCTGTTTCACCCTAGATAATATACATGTTTCGATGCTGTTTTCTCAGATCATCCCACCCTAGCCTTCTCCCATAGAGTCCAAAAGTCTGTTCTATACATCTTATTTCCTTTATTATAAAGACTGCTGCTCTGATCAGTCTTAAGTCTGTTGGTGTTGATGTGTGAAGAGTTTCTCTCTGAGGAGGATTCTTTAGGAGGATTATACATTAGAACCCAAATTTTTCCATATGCTGAGGATTTTTTTTGGTTAAGTGAGGTATTAAATGCTTAGTATAGTTTCTACCACACAATCTACATAAAATAGTAGTTATCATTCATCTTCTAAACAAATGTGGACTGTGGTTGAGATTTGTGCATGCGAATATTTGGAAGTAATTTCAGAGGCTTCTCTTTCCCCAACATTTTTTAATGAGCTACTTTTTTTTAAGACTTAATTTTTTAAAGAACAGTTATTTAGGTTCACAGCAAAATAGGAAGATACAGAGATTTCCCATATATTCTCTACCCCTGCCCATTCGAAGCTTCCCCTATTGTAAACATCACATATTAGAATGGTACACATTCTATTATCAAGATTATCTATTAACACAAGATTATCAAGGTTGAACCTACACTGACACATCATAATCACTTAGAGTCCATAATTTATCTTAGGATTTGTTGTTGGTGTTGTATTTCCTGTTGGTTTTTACAAGTGTGCAACGACATGTATCCATCATTAAGATAGCATACACCGTATTTTCACTTCCCTGAAAATCTTCTGTGCTCTGCTTTTTCATCCCTCCCCACAACTACCCTCCAACTACTGATATTTTTGCTGTTTGTACAGTTTTGCTTTTTCTAGAATGTCACGTAGTTGGAATGATACAGTATGTAGCCTTTTTGGGTTGGCTTCAGTGCATTTAAGTTTTCTCCATGTCTTTTCATGGCTTGATAGCTCATTTCTTTTTAGTGCTGAATAATAGTCTGTTGTCTGCATGCACCACACTTTATTGGCTATTGCCAAGTTTTGGCAGTTAACAGACAAAGCTGCTGGAAACAACCAAGTGTGTGTTTCTGTGTGGAGTTTTCAGCTCCTTTGAGTAAATACCAAGAAGCATGGTTGCTGGATTGTATTGTAAGAGTTTACTTAATTTTGTAAAAACCACCAAACTGTCTTCCAAAGTGATTGTGTCATTTTACATTTGCACCAGCAATTGATGAGAGATCCTGTTGATACACATTTTTACCAGCATGTGGAATCATCAGAACTCTGGATTCTGGCTATTCTAATGTGGCTGTAGTGGTATCTCATTGTTTCAATTTGCATTTCTCTGATGACATATAATGTGAGGCATCTTTTCATATGCTTATTTCCTATCCGTATATCTTCTTTGGTGACATGTTTGTTAAGGTCTTTGGCCCATTTATAAACGAAACTTTCTTTGTTGTTGTTGAGGGTTTTTAAAAAATTTTTAAAAATTTATTTTGGCTCTGCCTGGTCTTAGTTGTGGCAGGTGGGATCTTTAGTTGCAGCATGTGGGGTCTAGTTCTGTGACCAGGATTGAATGTGGACCCGCTGCATGGGGAGCACTTAGACCACCAGGGAAATTCCTAGTTTTAGTTTTTTAAGGAACCTCCATACTATTCTCCATAGTGGCTGTATCAACTTACATTCCCGCCAACAGTATAAGAGGATTCCCTTTTCTCCACACCCTCTTCAGCATTTATTGTTCGTAGGTTTTTGGTGATGGCCGCTGACTGGTGCTGTCACGTATTTAGAATCATGCAGTATGTAGCCTCATTCGATTGACTTCTTTTTCTTAGTACTATGCATTTAAACTTCCCCCATGTCTTTTCATGGCTTAATAGCTCATTTCTCTTTTTTTTCCATATACTTTTGTTATGAATCTTTTGTTGTTTAGATCATTTCAGCAAAAAGATTGAGGCTAAATGACATTGAAACTGCCATTGACTAAGTAATGTGACAGACCTACTTTTCTCCAACTGCCAGCCTTCTCTTTTTACAGAGTTCAGTTACCATGGGTCAAATCCTTTCGGAAATAAATGTCAGTTTTAGTAATATGTGATACCAGGTTTTAGTTTATGATTCTATCATTATCTTCTTGACAGAAGATTTAGAGGACTCTGAAGTTGGCACATTACCTGTAATGTTTTAATAGTATGAATTTTCATAGAGATTCCCTGGTGGCTCAGATGGTAAAGAATCTGCCTGAAATACAGGAGACCTGGGTTCGATCCCTGGGATAGGAAGATCCCCTGAAGAAGGAAATGGCAACCCACTCAAGTAGTCTTGCCTGGAGAGTCCCAGGGACAGAGGAGCCTGGTGGGCTACAGTCCATGGGTTCACAGAGTTGGACATGACTGAGCAACTAACACTTCCACTCTCATGAAAGTTAATAATGAATGTTAAATCTACCAAAGATTTCTGCAGGAATCTTTGGTAAATTTAGCCAGTAACTAAGTATATAGCAAGTATACCTGGTTTTGTTTTATATTAATACTTCATTGTTAACCTAAAGTGATAACATTTATTTTTTAAATTATTTACTTATTTTTGACTGCACTGGATCTTCTTTGCTGCATGTGGTCTTTCTCTAGTTGC